AACACCAAAGTTATGGCATTTCCAATCGTTCAGTTATATGGCAGCTATAAGATATAGTCGGCGATCCTTATGAACTTTGGTAGGTCGGATTGATTGGCCAAAAATAAAACCCATAGAAAATCCCAACTTCCTAACTTAACAAACACCAAAGTTATGGCATTTCAGATCAATCAGTTATATGGCGGCTATAGAATATAGTCGGCCGATCCTTATGAAATTTGGTAGGTCGGATTGATTGACCAAATATAAAACCGATAGAAAATCCCAACTTCCTAACTTTACAAACACCAAAGTTATGGCATTTCCAATCGTTCAGTTATATGGCAGCTATAGGATATCCGCCGTTTCGACTTATATACTGCGTGCAAAGGAAAGAAGGCTGTGTGCAAAGTTTCAACTCGATAGCTTTAAAACTGAGAGACTAGTTTGCGTAGAAACAGACAGACGGACAGACGGACAACAGACGGACAGATGGACATGGCTATATCAACTCAGGAGGTGATCCTGATCAAGAATATATAACTTTATAGGGTCGGAGATGTCTCCTTCACTGCGTTGCACACTTTTGACCAAAATTATAATACCCCTTAAAAAAACCATTTCGAGATATTCGCGTTTAAAGTTTCAAGTTTGGGTTTGGGCGTGGACGAGGCGCGCGGCTAGGAGCGCTGTAACTTTTTTTCTACTGCTCAAATCTCTATGAAAATTTTGGGAAATATTCTCAAGAAGTTGTTCTTTAGTGACAAAAAAGCCCTTGAAAAAAAAATTTTATTAAATAAATATTTTGATACCCCTTCAGTCAAAAGCTTCCACCTCAGCGAAGGGCACATTTCCGACCATATAAGGTATTTATATATTCTTAATCAGCATCACCAGGCGAGTCGAGTTAGTCATGTAAGTTTCTACGTAAACTAGTCCCTCGGTGTTAAAGGATGAAACTTTGCTAAAAGTCTTATTTCTGTTGCAGGTAGAAAATCCGACCCGGCTTATAGAAAAAATATTGAAAATTTAATTTTCTTAATAGCTAGAAGGGTATATAAACTTCTGCTTGCCAAAGATAGCTTTAATTAATCTAGAGACTTTTAAAACTATCAAAAAGCTGTGTAAAACACAAATTTCAACTTTGTCGGCTTATTCTGTACTGTTTGGTGGTGAATTGATTGGTTTTTTCAAACACCACAACTACAACATAAGTTTGAACGAGACTTTTATTAAGTAATATAATAAAAATATAATATTATTATTAATAAGAAAAATCGATTTTGTGTTTCTGTGGAGCTTAGCGATTTATTGAACACTCAATTCATTCTGAAGTTTGTTCTCCTTCTAATAATATTAAGCCATATTATACTATATTTCGTGTTTCAATGGCACATGTTCAAAGTTTAAAACTCAAAGGCTAGTTCCCACAGAAATATATTGTTTTTTATGACTGGAAGTTTTAAAAATTTTAATGGCCATCGTTCTCTTGACTTACAAATCGGTGACTCATGACTCTTATTTCTTTCTGTGTCGAGCGTATGCTTTATGCGTAGCAGCTGCTGGCAGCATAGATGGAGATGGAGACGATTCTGACGACGCCCCCTCTTTTGGGCTGCTACCGCAAAACTCGGGCCGCAGCTCTTTTGGCCTTAACTCAGGCTGGAGCTCGGGTTCGAGATCCAACTGGTGGTGGTGCTGATGCTGATTCTGGGCTGTTTTACTGCAGCAGGCTTTGCTGACAGAACAAAGAAGTCGTCCATTTGTAATTGTTGTTCCTGATGCTGTTTGGCTTTTTCGTTGCTGTTGCAATAAGGGCAGCGCAGACATAGCCAAGGATTACCTAAGCAACGCACATACCCGTACCTATACCCATACCCATTCCCATACCCATACCCAAACCCAAGCCCATACCCAAACCCAGGGCCTGAGCTATACAAAACCATCTGTAGACTCGTATTTTTGTTAAGGCAGGCAGACTGCACAGGCTTGCATATCTTTTATGACTTTTGACTTGACTTTGACTTTGCCTCCTTAAACTCCCCGGCCAGCTGAAGTTGAATGACCCCAATGACTTGGCCCCGCTCTCAGGTCCAAAAAACCCGTGGTCAAGGCTGTCCATTTAAAGGTTACATGAACTCAGACCTGGAAAAATGTGGCCTTTATATATATTTAAAAATATTGTATTTGCAGAAAAATACTTAAGAGATTGGAGAAATACGATCAAATCTTTTAGAATATTCCTTCTACCAAAAAAAAATTTTAAATGTCCAATCTAAAACAGCGGGTATAAAATATTAAGTTACTTAATCGTTAAAGTTCTGTAAAAATATAAAGTCAATATAAAGTAGTATCTTAATCTGATAAGATTTATTCAACAAAATTACATCTTCATATTTTTAAAAAGCTGAAAACGTAAAAAGGTAATATAAATAAATATATGGTAAAACTTTTTGAACTCAAAGCAAATCTTCAATGGTTTATTTCAAATGCTCTGCGAAAATGTGTTTACATGACCATTCCCAGGCAATTATAGATTTCCACTCTTCAATCCCTTGGCTAGATGGCGTGGGCTACTGCAATTTAGTTGGGCGGTTCCCCAACTCCGAAACAAATTAGATGTCAGTGAACAACTCAACTTGAAATTGTGTTGGGCTTAGGTTCATATGGAAGACTCTGCCCTGAACCGGTATGACATTACCCCAATGCCAGCGTAAATTTGCAAATTAGCCGCAGACAACAAAAGAATTATATATGCATTATATAATGCCAAACGAGCTAACGCAAATGCCCAGAGTCCGGGCCTAGGCCAAAGTCAAATCAATTGGTTGCAGTCCAGGTCTCAAAGGAACAACGGAAATGAGACCTGGTCCTCGGAGGCACTCGTAGCAGGCTGCTTTTCTGTTTTCTCATCATTAACATTGTCCCGGTCAAAACCAAGTATGCAGATAAGGCTAAGCCCCCAACGAGCCCTGGCCAATAGGCGAAACATGCGTACTTACGTCTCTGACTATTTGTTTCACGAATTCGCGGCGCATTTTACTCGGAAAATAAACAAGGAGATGTAGATTAAGTTTGATGAATTGCAGATACTCTTCTAAGTAAGTATGAAATACCAGCTGTTCACTGCCGTCTTATAAAAGTTCATTCCTAAATATATAGCTTTTAGCAAAAAAAAAACTTTAACTTTCTTAAAAGTTGTCTGATTTGTAGTGCTTTGTTTCAAAACGTGGCTTTTCTAAGATATTCTCGCTTAATAATTTACGTTTCCTGGTTTTATTTTTTATCCAACTGAATTAGTTTTCATGTATATCCAACCACCTAGGTGTGCCCGGTCTCTAAGCAGCAGAGGCATTCTGTCCGTCGGTCCAAACAAGGCAAAAGGCATGTCCATCCTTCCTATCGTAACAAGAGCAATTTGTTCTAATGCGCCATGGCAGCGGCAGCTGCTGGAGATGGTGAGGCCAAGTCTCGGCTAAAGCTGAAGGAGCTGGAGTGCCTGACTTGCAGTTGCACCGGGCGTGGAGGAACAAGAGGATGTGGAAGCGGCAGTGGGAGCAGGAGTAACCGAGTTAGCCGAGATTGCAGAAAGGGCAGCCACTGAACACGCAATGGCCAGAACAAATGTAGACATTAAGCTGCTGGCCAGGCCAAGGGATCGGACCGGAGGGATGGGATGGGAGATTGGCGGAGATTGCAACTGCAGTTCCAGGTGACAGACACGCAATGGCCAGCTCCAGAGCAGAGTCCCAGCCTGGGCATGGCTATCGTAAAATCATATCTATATTTGATACATAAAATTTTACATACATCTCTGGCAAAACAAATAGCACCCCCACCATCCGATTAATTTCCGTTGACACTAACGGTCGCGTCAATAAATTCGCTGGGGAAATTTCTTTAATTGCTCTGGGGTGGGTGGAAGGTGGTCGCGCGGCAGGTGCCACAACGCCTGCAGATGCCACCGCTGCTCGGGCTTAGTTCGCATGCAGCGCGCTGTTTGCCATAAAAAATATTTGCCGCCTTAATGTGAGTGGCTTATAAATTTGTGCACAAGCCCAGACCATTTATGGCCATCGGGGCAGAGACCCATGGGGCACATGTACCTAACTGTTTATGTGGTAAGATGCCTGCCTGGTTGGGTGTGTCTGGGTGTTTGTGTGTGGCTCGATGCTTTTTTGGCTGCATTCAAATATGGAATGCAGCATCCAATAGGACATGACTTGAAATTCTTCAGATGAGCCTCTAAGGTCAAGAACGCCCCAGCCAGTAAAAGAACAAAAATGATTGACAAATATCACACAAAAGCTACCATTCTTCAAATTTTTTTATAGCCCTACATTTAACTGTTTGTCAGGTTTCTTATATTTATAAATTTAAATATTGCATTCTTTAATTATAAATCTGAGGACTTGTTTTTTGTAGTTACCAAACTCTTTATGATATATTCATTTCTTGAAAATGTTGATAGATAACTGTAGTTCAAAGTTCTTCTTTACTAGATCAAATAAAGTACAAATCAATACCTAATATAAAACTATTACACTTAGAAATATTTTATACAATAGTTTTTGTTATTTCTTGTCCGACACGCTCCACAGCAATGTTTTAATATTTTGAAATTCTGAAATAAATTCATATCCGAAAAATCAAATTTTCTCGCCGAAATTAAAATATGGGTGCATCCTACTTTCCCAAACCTCCAACATTATTTTTCTTTATAAAACTTTTTTACTTTTATCAAAATTTCTTTTAATCCAATTTACTTTTGAAAAGTCTTAGTATGGAAAATCAGTAAACAAATCATTCCTTTTTTTTGTATCATTATATAAATGGTTTTAATCTATATATTTATTTATAGAATGACGACCCCAGACGTTACAACGTAGACTTTCTTTCACAAGCTAAATCACAAAAGATTTTAATTGTTAGGAAAAGTAACCATGCAACTAATTCATATAAAAAATAAAATCAGTGTAAGTCTTCGGCAATACAAATACAAAAAAATATTTTATTATTTATTTTTATTTATTTCATTATTTGACTTTTGTATTTTGATTTACATTTCATTTTTACGATTGTACACTTTGGATTTGCACTCTTTACACATTTACTTGTTAATTTTCGAGTTAGCAAAAAGGTTAGGAAAGACAAACGGCAACTAAATGCATTAAGCTTATTCGTTAATATGCATGGCCACAATGAGTTGAATTGTACTTGAGCTATTAAATCCACACTGAGTGATACAATGCTCTGGCAAGACTTAATATAAATAACATATTTGTGGGGTTCAATCCGATCGTGTTAAACTTATTATTATATAAATTATTGCATCGAATTTCGTTCTAAACTCTAAACTCCATTAAGAGGAAAATAATAATGGACACACTAAGATATTAATTCAAATTATTTTCTTTTTGGTAGCAGCCAAGTATGGACTAAAGTAAGGTAAGTCATCAGTACTACAAAGTATATATCTTTGGGATAAATTATTTGGTTGGGTTTCTGCAACTTTGGGTAACTAAACGGTAAACTAAATGGCAAGAACTAGTTCTACAAATCATCCTTCTATGGCACAATTGCATTTTGCGTTGGCTAGCAACTCCTGATTTCTACTTCTGCTTCATATACATGGTGGCAAACTTGTCAAGAATAGTGTCGATGGACAGATATTCCTCGTTGAATTTCTTCATTGTGGGTGCTGGCACAATCCATTTGAGGAACTCCTCAACATTAAGCCGTAGTCTGGCCAAGGGCGTCAACTTGGCGTCGTCGTGCGTGGGTCGCTGAGCCAGCTTTAACGATGCAATGATCACATTATCGATCAGACGCTTTTCGTATCCCAACTGGCGCAGTTTCTGGGGCGAGCTAATCTTCTTCAGTACCACGGCCATGTTGAAGCGTATGGTGGAAAGGATTACGACATCTTCAGATTGAGAACCCGAAGACTCGTCTCCGCCAGCAGGACATTTAGTACACTGCTCCGAATGCGCCTGCAGCTCCACCTTGATCTTGAAAAACTCGTGGCAGCCTTCGCACATGTAAGGCTTTTGCTGTTTGTGTATCTTCTTCATGTGGTTCTTTAAGTGCGCCAGCTGAGAGAAGGCTACCTCGTCCTCGCACAGCTGGCAGCGAAAGGGTTTTTCGCCAGTGTGCTTGCGGATGTGCAGCTTTAGTACGCTGGAATGGGCGAACGTCTGGTGGCAGATCTGTCGGGATAAGAGGTATAAGCTAAACCCTTTTTCAGGCTAGGACTGATGGAACCTACCCTACACTGGTAAGGCCGCTCTCCCGTGTGCATTCGCATGTGGACATTGTACTGGCTCTTCTGGGTGAAATAGGTGTTGCACACTTCGCACACGTGCGTCTTAACGGCGGCGTGTTTCTGCATGTGCGTGGCCAGATCCTCGTCTGGCTCGATCGTCTTGTGGCAGAACTCGCACTCGAAACGCGTGAGCTTGTGGTGCTCCTGGTTTATGTGAGCTCGTAAGGCCAGCTCGTTGGCAAACTGGCTCTCACAGATTCCGCACCGGTGCTCCATGCCTTGTTCGTGTCGCTCCATGTGCACCCTCAGATTGGCGTTGGTTGAGAAGCTGGCCGAGCACTTGGTGCAGTTGAACTGTTGAATGCTCGTCTTGTGGTGAGAAACCATGTGCTGCTGCAGCTGAATTGAGAATTTACAATAAAAATTTTTAATCAATCGAATTAGTAAGTTTGTTCTAAAAAATGCTGTGCAAACTAAAGGAAAATTTGTTTCAAATTTTAAAAATTTTAAAAGCTGAAGTGATACTACAATTTTGCTGGTAATGAAAGACAAAATACATTTTTTAATGTACTAACAGAAATTTGTTGGCAAAATTATTATTAGTTTTTAAACAAACTAATTTAATTTTTAAGCATAAATAAAATTTAAATTGAAGATCCAAAAAAGTGAAGTGATAACAATGTTGTGGGTAATGAAAGACAAAATACATGTTTTTATGTACTAACAGAAATTTTTTGTACAAAATTATTATTAGTTATAAACAAATTAATTTAATTTTTAAGCATAAATAAAATTTAAATTGCAGATCCAAAAAAGTGAAGTTAAAACGAAAGTGTATTTCTTATTGCTTACTCACCTGACCACCTCGCGCAAATTTTTTGTCACATAGGGCGCACGGATACGGTTTCTCGCCAGAATGGAGACGCATATGAAGGCGCAGGCGCTCCTTAAGGGCGAATGTCTTGGGGCACTGGGGGCAGGAGAACTGCTTTCTGTGCTCGTGGGCGGTGGTGATGTGGTTCTTGAGGTTGACCGCCTGACGGTAGCTCTTGCCACACTCCTTACACTTGTGAGGCCGTTCGTCCGAGTGGATGAGCATATGGCGCTGTAGATCGGTCTTGCCGCCGAACTCCTTGGAGCAGTGATTGCAGACGTGTTGCTTTCGTTTCACTGGTTCCCCCTTGCGGGCGGACTTTTTCGGCGGCGGTTGCACGTAGTCGGCATCCTTCGAGTCCTGCTCGGCGCTGACCTCCTCCTCCTCGACAGAGGCATCTCGCAGACTGGCAAGGCTGCTTTTGCGCCTCTTGATCGTATACGCGGGTCCTGGAGAAGATTCCCTCGCCGCCGGCGGCGAGGATAGCGAGATACCGCTGTCCGTGAGCAAAGAGACGGCATCCTCCTTGGACACACTGCGACGGCTGCGTACCATTTGTTTGGTTTTTTTTATTATTCACTTGCTGTATTTATAATTATGGGGACCTTTTCCTGGGGGACACCGGCACCAGGAGCGACTCGCTTTACTTCTAGGGTTAATGTTCTACGTAATATATGGTTTTCTGATTTTTTGGTTTGATTTACTACTTTTAGGATAGTTGCCATACACCTTTGGATTAGATTAGGTTAGATGGGCTGCAAAAAAGTTAAGAACTGTTTTATTTCTTCAGTCGCAATGCGCCACGTTCCGAAGCAGACGGAGAATCAAAAACACAGACTGAAATAGTAACAGTAAGTGAGGCCGAAACAGAAACAAAAAGAGAAACAGCAACGGAACAGAACCTCCAGCTGAGTCAACAGTGATAAGACCTATGCACAGGAAGAATATTACCAAAATTGTCTATTAATTTCGGACGATGCAAGTCGAAAAGTTACTTAAAATACATGATATTAAAACTGTACTTTAAATTAAAAGCAAATATATTGCTACGGATTTATTAACCATATGTTAGGTTTCTTATTTTTTGGAAAGTTACGCACACTCTCTGCATTAAATTTAAACGATGCATAGTTAATAAAAAACACGAATATAAAGTCACATTCTGAATTACTTTAAAAAGAATGTCACTTGATAAGCTCTATTTATATTTTGGGTCAACTCCAAATAAGCTGATTATAGCGCAGTGATTTGTATTACATACATTGCATATTATTGTAATTGTTTTTATATTAATAATATATTTGCAATAATTTGGGCGACAATTATATGATATACCGTATTTTACTGTGTATAAGCTAGGAGCACTTTATGATCGCTTAATCATTTTGCATTTCCAGCGAACGCGAGCTTCCAGAAATTTTCCCAGTTTGTTGTCTTAATCTTTTGTTTGAGCGGGAGTGAGATGGAGCTATCGTCTGATAAGATCCCATAAAGGCAACCACTGATAAGCAATCCGGCTGTACGATAAGACTACGAACTCACAAGCACACGAGCACCTACTCGAGGAGCTAAAGATAGATATAGAGATATAGCAGTGCAACCTGAGCGATCCGGAGTCGTCTGTTCTCCGAGGCAGCGGAGTTTCCAATGAAAAGCGAGCACAAAGAAAATGCAATTGGAAGAGAGCCGATGACCCTGGGCACGACGAACATCTGGCAAACAGATTGAGAACCCTCCGAGCCCAGCCAACCCCCCGGCCCTAGGGAGGGTTAATGGTTCATTAGAGCCGCACCCGCAGAAGCTGAAAACTAAAACTCACTTAAACAACACAACAGCCCTCGACCAAACTGTTGAAAAAGCGAATTAAAGCTAGAATCTGGAGCTGAAAATCGAAACTGAAAGAGAACGGGGCAAAAAGCACGAACGGCAGCGAAAATCAGACACAAAAAGCGAAAATGAAGAAGTGAATACATAACAACAGTTTTGTAATGCTAAATAGACGGGGTAATATGGGTTGCAGGGGGCTCAAGTGGGTGAGGGTTGAAGAAAGGGGAGGGGTCCGTTGAAGTCTTTCGTATTCGGTACACAGAACTCGATGAGTCTACCGTTTTTGGGGTCTTGCCACCGATTGTTAGTAATTAATGCCAGAACCGCAACATAGTTACATACGATCTAAGCAATCTATGCATAGAGATTCAACATATTGGACATAGAAGTCCCACAATTCCATCACCGAAAACCATTTAAACGTGGACTTACCCTCGCAATCATCGGAAATCCCTTAAGTCCTTCAATTCGCGGGAACCACTCATCACCCCAAATTGGACACACCTTGATTTCCTCTACATTCTGCGGACAGGAACGAATTGGGTTTATTTGTTTATAATTTCAACGCCCACTCGCTGTGTGTACATACTTTTTGCATTTCGCTAACATGCAGATTGCCCAGGTTTTCTAAGGTATATCCATCGCACTGTCCGGTATTTATTCTAGGCACCACGTAGTCTTCAACTATTTGTTTTTTATTTAACCAAATAAATAACTGTTTACGGTGGTTTTTTCGTTGTTGTTCTTAATCTTAGAGATGTGTATTCTTCGAATGACGGTCACACCTAGAACTCTTTTTCTGCACATCTAGAGATGGAAGCGTGGCACGGAGGCTCTGATTGCAGGTGGGAACGTGGGTCAAATAAATGTAAATAAACAAACTACTCTTTGACACATTCATTTCTACTTTTAATACAATTTCAATAACGTAAAAGTAAAAAAAAACATTTACTCGTTTAACGCTAAGCTGTCCCTTACGAAAAAAGATTGAGAACAACACAAAACAATTAGACATTATATAATAATCTCACATAATTATTAAAGCCACAGATATGGAACACAAATATTTTTGATTTGTAAATGTTGACCTTGTTTTGATTATTATTATTCAATTAATTCATTCATTTCAGTTCTCTTAAGTAAAAATATTTTTGATTTTGCAATAATTTTTCGTTACCACAAATATTACACATGCAATAGTTTGCTGAACGCGACTTCTTTTCACAATATAACTGCAAACATGTGGCAACGCCAAATGCCGCTATGTAGGTCCGGCATCACTTTATCTGAAACACGCGCAAGCAAAATATTTAAGAAATGGAAAATAGTAGTTAACAAAGTTTTATATTAAAATATTCTGCTTAAACAAACCTGCTGAGTCACAAGAAACACTAAACTACCTCCGTGTAAGGGACTTATAACACATATATAAGCCGGACTTGACAGAAGGTAAGTTGTGCGATTTTGGCGCTCCGCTGAACTGATTTAGAAATATTATATCTAGCTACCATGGCTGGAGTACTCTTCGAGGACATTTTTAACGTTAAGGACATGGATCCAGAAGGCAAGAAGTTCGACCGTGTGTCCCGCCTGCATTGCGAGTCCGAATCCTTCAAGATGGACCTCATCCTGGACATCAACTCTTGGCTGTATCCCATGGAGCTGGGCGACAAATTCCGCCTGGTCCTGGCGACCACGCTGCGCGAGGATGGCTGCCCGGACAGCGGGGAGTACAACCCCATGGAACACGAGGGCACGCGGGCGGACAGCTTCGAGTACGTGATGTACGGCAAGATCTACCGGATCGAGGGCGACGAGGCGCACAACGAGGCCTCCCGGCTCTCCGCCTACGTGTCCTTTGGGGGCCTGTTGATGCGACTACAAGGGGACGCAAACAATCTTCACGGCTTCGAGGTGGACCAGCACATGTACTTGCTGATGAAACGGCTGGCCTTTTAAATTTCTTATCTACTTATTTCCGTTCGCAAATTAGACATAAACAACAAATTTTATTTACAGCGTATGTTTAACATTGGTGCACACTGCTCTGGGTCAGAATGGTAAGTAGTGTGCTCTAGTGCCTCGATGGGCGTCTCAAAGGTGCATTCACTATCAGGCGAGATGGCTGTGGGCGAAAGGGAATGCGGCGATCCACGAAGGGCAAAGCCAGAGGAGTCGATGGAAACACTGAAGTTCCTTTGATCGCGTTCACAATCTTAGCGGGATTGGGCCTAGGACGAGCCGTGAGCTTGGCAGGGCGACGCTGTGGTGTCTGGAGAACCGGACGCTGCGGGCGGAAGGCTGCCAAACGGTTCAGAAGCGGCAGAACGAACTGTGCTTGAGGAGGCAGTGGCAGACTGGCCAGATTTATAATAGCTGCGCTTTGTGGCAAGGAGTTGGAGTTGTCATCGTTGGCTGGCAGATCTGGGGGTCCGTAGGTCTGATCGGGAGGCCCATAAACCTGATCCGGTGGGCCGTAAACCTCAGATGGCTCTTCCACAACGGCAGGAGGTCCGTAGGTTTCCGCTGGAAGTCCATAGGTCTCCTCAGGTTGAGGAAACTCTATCGCCTCCTCCGTTGGCAGCTCGAATGGTGGATCGGGAACCAGGCCAGCTGGGGGATACGGTGCCTGTTCCTGCCTTTGCAGGATCAGCGGAAGGGATCTGCCCTTCGCGGGTCCTGGGAACCTCAGATGAGTAGCTTCGATTCCATTCACGCAGAGAATGGAACAAAGAGCGAGGGTAACCAGAAAACCAGTTGGATAACCAAACATTTTGATGTGCTAGAGTGAACTGCTGCATGGTGTGGCATAGTGGCGCCTATAAATACCCACTAGGGATAAACCTTGGGGACTGCCCAATCAATTGGCCCAAAGAAACCACGAGGCCGATGTCTTTTAAGGCAGGTCCAATATTACGTGCCCATTGCGGTGATGACTAAAGCGGTTGTAAGCACTGGATGTTATGAAAATTTAGTTAAATTTTGGACAGGTGTATTTAAAAAACCGACAAGTTTCATGATTCATATAATTAAAATTTTTTTTTCCAATATCTTCAAAGTTTTAGGTAAATATAATTATATGTAGGAAGAATCTACAATGGAACGGCAGTAGATTTCGATTTCGAATAAACTAATATCTGTCGTTATGAAAAACTACAACCAATGCCAGACATATTTAGATATCGCCAGTCATTTATATGGTTTAACTATTTTCGTTTTTTATGTGTTCTCTAAAAATTTTTAATTTTGTTACTTTATACTAATGATCTTTAACGTTTTATTTGATCTGTAATAGCATTTTTAATTTTTAGTTTGTCATACTAGTTATTTCATTATTAAAAAGCAACTTGTGAAAATTAAAAAAGAAAAAATTACATTGGTTTTACTAATGTAGGGTATAAAAAATCATCGCATAACGATGATAAAAGATGATTTTATTTCGAGTTTATAACATACATGTTGATGTTCCAAAGTTAAAATTTCGAGGATTTGATTGCAACATATAAAAATGTATTATTGTCTTTATACAATTTTAAACCGCAGTTAAGTATTTAATGGTGTTTGATTTAATGATTAATTGAATGTTTTAGGTCACTTAACATTTAGTTCTAGTCTTTGAATTTAAAAATCTTATTGAAATCTACCAACTGCGACGCAGGATCAGTCGCTGAGGAACGGGCTGCCGATAACGACGTCCTTGGGGGAACCGCTGGTAGAGTCGGGCGGACTGGGCGGTCTGAGGCTGGTCGAGACTGCTGGCTACGACAATGACAGTTCCATCCTCAGCCACCTCCACCAGGGGCTGATCCTCCTCAGCGTCCGCATCAGCTGGCTGCAGCTTGGCACCATCCACCGACTCATCCTCAGTTTCTGGAATATCATCGGTCTCGATGGGATTCTCAGGCTGAGGCTCCGGCTGAGAATCAAGCACAGGAACAGAGTCCACCTCGGGTGGTCCATAAGTGTTATCTGGTGGTCCGTAGGTGTTATCCGGAGGTCCATAGGTGTTATCCGGTGGCAGGTAAGTACTCTCCGGCTTGGCGGTCGAGCTGGGCAGATCGAAGGGAACACTTGGGGTGATTCCCGCCTCCGGATAGCCCGTGGGCGAAGGACTGGGCGGAGCCTCCTCCTGACGGGCGGAGAATCGCCGGCGGAGCGGTTCCGCCGAACTCAGAGCCATTAGGCTCAGGACAAGAATAACAATTGATGCAGAGCTGGCTTTGATCATTTTCGCGGCTAAAGGGCTTCTGTTCTGATTTCCCAATCCGACTTGGCTTATTTATAGTCCCAAGCTACCGGATCGAGTTTTGCTATAATTTATGCTCGTCACTTTCAATTTTCAGGCTCTTGTTCCCGGTAAAGCTTTGATTATGTTGCCGCTTCAGCTTAAAGCCTGATACGTGACCCGTTTTTGAAATTAAATAGCCAATGCTATGATTTTGGATATGCTTCCCCTTCCCTTTCATGGGATCATTCATTAACACCCGATGTGGGCTTTGGGGTCGCAGTGAACACTTAAGATTGTTTGTTTTTGGATCTTGGGTTCTTGGCAGTTCATAATTCGTTTAATACATTTTGTATTCATGTGAAATAAAATAGGCTATGAAAAACCCAATTGAGCATGCAGTTCAATAGACACGTTCCATCGATAGGCATATGTACATATTCATAGTTGACTCAGGGTCTTTGGAATAAATATGTTTTTAATATTCGTTCCTCTAGAAGAATAGTAAATTGGCATTACCTCTTACTAAATCATCAATTCAACTGAAAAATAAAAAAAGTAGTTTAAAGAAGTTTAGTAAGCTTTAAGGTTTTGCTCGCTCTGACGCGACCATAAAAAAGAGGGTGAAGTGTTTTTACCGAAATTCTTTAAAAACTATTTTCTTAATCTTTCCTGACACTGGGCCTAAGGACAAATCTTTCGTTTTTTAAAATTTGTATTCTTCATTTTAAAATTATTAAATGCAATTGTACATCATAAAAACAATTTTACTACCCCAGTTAAGTACACACTAACCTTGACTTAAGAATTTTGTGTACTTGATATTCTGAAAATAAGTACATTTATTGTTTGATTTAATAAAGTTTTTAAAGTAGTAACTAATTTATTATTCTTAAAATAAGTACATAGAAGAAATTGAATCATAATTTAAGAGTTTGCCTTTTTAATCAAGACTTTTTTATGTTTTAAAAATAATTTTTTTATTTAAAAACAGCAACAAATGTTGAAACAACAATTATTCAAAATTAAGCATTATCGTACATTAATGTTTTTTCTGAGTGAAGTTGGATATATTTGCTTTGTTTAGTGATTTACATGTTTGTTTGTTATTCATTAATGCATTTTGTGAAGAATTGTATGTTTACACCAGTGCCATTTATATTGGCAATTAACCATTTTCGTAATTTATACTTTAATTCTCGTAAAGTAAAATGCAAAATATGAAACAGAAAGGAAAAGTGTTTTCCGGACATATCAAACAACAATTTGAGCTCACCATATTTTAAATAGAACACTACTACCCTGGTCAACTAAATTCTAGATATCTCCCAACATATTAAAATTCGACAAAGCTATGTTTTAAAATATTAAACAACAATTCGGTTATTTATTTAGCAACAGATTTAAGTATGTGTATCCTAATAGTTCGATTGCATTCAAGAAAAACGGATTGACCCACTTTAGATGGTATAGACCAGCACTGGTCGGGAGCGAATGATCTGGGCGGATCTCAGCTTCTCCGGAACGGGACGAAGGCTGCGGAAGCGTCCATTACGGGGCTGGATCAGACTAGCGGGAACGGGCTCGGCAGCATCCAGAGGAGCCAGGTCAACAGGGGCATCACCAGCCGGGGGTCCATAGGTGTTATCAGGCTCGGCAGGAGGTCCGTAAGTGTTATCCGGAGGTCCATAGGTGTTGTCCGGCTCAGCTGGAGGTCCGTAGGTCAGATCAGGCTGAGCTTCCGTCTCCGTGGGCAGGTCGAAGGGCACTTCCGGTGTGACTCCTGCCGGTGGATAAGGAGCCGATGCCGGAGTGGGCGCCAAATCCACGGCGGGATCGGCTGGAACAGCCTGATCCTCTGGAGCTTGCTCTTGACGAGCAAACTGTAGCCGAGAGGATCGGCCACGGAACCTTGCAGGTTCCGCCAGAGAAACGGCAGCGACGGCTGCGATCAGGAGCAGAGAGCTGGTGAACTTGTAGGCCATGTTGAGCTGTTATTGAGTTGTCTTAGAATGTTGTCAATAACTGGAAGTCGTGGGGCTTTTATACACCGAAGTTTTCGGCCACTCATATTTGGCACACCGAGGGACACCCTTTCGATGGCATATGGACGTGACAATATTTAGCCAAGGGCCCATGTCTTAGCCATAACCATAGGCCGTTAATTATAACCCGCGGGTACTTAACTTTGACACTTAACTTGTCCCTCTGCGGATAAGCAATGGGGTGAACCTTACAATGCTTCAGCGCAATCGATGAAATTTAAGTGTACTTTATTAGCTTATCAAATTAAAACAATATCATATATTAGAAATATAATAAAACTTTTAAACTATCTTTGCTAAATATATAACATTTACCTTAATGGTAAATGTGTTTTAGTGCTTGTAATTTTTTTATTAGTGGGACAGTACATGAAAATTACAGGAAGGCTGTTCTTTTCCATTCTATTTTGCACAATCCAAAAATTACGTTACGATAACGTTTATAACATAAATATGTATTGAATACTGCGACTGATTAATGCAATTTTGTCCGACTTTTTATACCCTTGCAGAGGGTATTATAATTTTGGTCAAAAGTGTGCAACGCAGTGAAGGAGACATCTCCGACCCTATAAAGTATATATATTCTTGATCAGGATCACCTCCTGAGTTGATATAGCCATGTCCGTCTGTCCGTCTGTCCGTCTGTCCGTCTGTCCGTCTGTCTGTTTCTACGCAAACTAGTCTCTCAGTTTTAAAGCTATCGGATTGAAACTTTGCACACACCCTTCTTTCCTTTGCACGCAGTATATAAGTCGGAACGGCCGGGATCGGCCGACTATATCCTATAGCTGCCATATAACTGATTGATCGGAAATGCCATAACTTTCGTGTTTGTAAAGTTAGGAAGTTGGGATTTTCTATGGGTTTTATATTTGGCCAATCAATCCGACCTACCAAATTTCATAAGGATCGGCCGACTATATCCTATAGCTGCCATATAACTGATTGATCGGAAATGCCATAACTTTGGTGTTTGTAAAGTTAGAAAGTTGGGATTTTCTATGGGTTCTATATTTGGCCAATCAATCCGACCTACCAAATTTCATAAGGATCGGCCGACTATATCCTATAGCTGCCATATAACTGATTGATCGGAAATGCCATAACTTTGGTGTTTGTAAAGTTAGAAAGTTGGGATTTTCTATGGGTTCTATATTTGGCCAATCAATCCGACCTACCAAATTTCATAAGGATCGGCCGACTATATCCTATAGCTGCCATATAACTGATTGATCGGAAATGCCATAACTTTGGTGTTTGTTAAGTTAGGAAGTTGGGATTTTCTATGGATTTTATTTTTGGCCAATCAATCCGACCTACCAAATTTCATAAGGATCGGCCGACTATATCCTATAGCTGCCATATAACTGATTGATCGGAAATGTCATAACTTTGGTGTTTGTAAAGTTAGGAAGTTGGGATTTTCTATGGATTTTATTTTTGGCCAATCAATCCGACCTATCAAATTTCATAAGGATCGGCCGACTATATCCTATAGCTGCCATATAACTGAACGATTGGAAATGCCATAACTTTGTTGTTGTTCAAGTTAGGAGGTTCGGATTTTTTATGAGTATTAAGAATGCATCATATGAATAATTTTGGAGAATATAATTTACAGAGTATTCTGCAAGGGTATATCAACTTCGGCTCCGCCCGAAGTTAGCTTTCCTTTCTTGTTTCTGTGATATACTGAGCATTACGATAAATATATTTAAGGTTCACCCAAATATGCATGTGGACAACTAGTGCTAGAGTTTAGATAACACTTTAAATTCCACTCCACTGTGCGGCGCCTGCTTGACATACGCATTGATGGCTTTCAAATCGCGTCGCTCTGCTTAAAATGCACGGCGTTGTGGGCCGGGCTAGAATCGGTGACCACTGACCGCCGATCAGCAGGGCCACCGTCGGTGGTTTGTGGGTATAAAAGTTAAAGCTCCATATTCGACAGACAACATATCACCACTGCAAGTCCCACGATCATGGCACGTTATCAGCTTTTCAGTTCGCTCCTTCTTTTGGTGGCCATCTGGGCCGTGTCTTGTACGGCACAGGCCCCACTCCGGCGGATACAGCGCCTGCGACCGGTGGCATTCGCCCGGCAGGAGGTGGCTCCCACGCCCTATCCATCGGCTGCGGAACTTAAGCCTGCCGCCGAACAGCCCGCTCTGACTTACGGACCTCCCGAGGAAGTGGATACGGACGCCTCGCCATCGGAGCAGGAGCTCCCGGTAGACAACTTTGAGCCCAACCCGGAGACCGAGGAGGTGGAAACCGAGGAGAGCTCCCTGGAGGCGACCACACCATCCTCTGCTCCCGCCCGCCTGCGCAGCCGCCAGAGATTGGCCAAGCTGCAGCTGGCCAAGCCCAAGCGCCTACGCCAACGCATCGCCCGCCTGGAGGAGCTGCCCGTGGATGAGGTTGTGGCTCCAGTGGCTCCAGTGGCTCAGGTTCCCGCAGTGCCCACGCCTCAGTTTTACTATGTGGGAGCCGGACAGCAGCCTTATTACCTGGCCTACAACGCTGCTCCCCAGCAATTGGGCTGGTAAACCAGAATTACAACGTTTACTTTGTACATTTTTCTGTTTGAACTTGTTTTTATCGTTGAAAATATATTTTTGGTAATAGAAAAATTGTATACTTATTGGTATTGGGAGTGCCATTTTTGTTTACCTACACACAAAACAAATTTCTTGATAGAATCAAAGCAACAATTGCATGTCGGTTTTAACGAAAAGTTAAATATTTCACTTTAGTAGTCAATTTTACCAATTAGATATCTCAAAAACTGCTACGCTAAAATTGGTATTATTCATTAATGTTTTTACAAAGTTTATTCCAAGCCATTTAAAAAGTAAGTGCTTTTGTCTTTTGGAAGTATGTAAAGTCTGAATACAGAAATAATTATGTTAAGTCAAGATCCCGCGTAGCAGTAACAATTTTTATACCCTTGCAGAGGGTATTATAATTTTAGTCAAATTTTTCCAACGTAGTGAAGGAGACACTTCCGACCCTATAAAGTACATATGTTATTGATCAGCATCACCAGGAGAGTCGATCTAGCCATGTCCGTCTGTTCGTCCGTTCGTTTCTACGCAAACTAGCCCCTCAGTTTTAAAGCTATCTGCTTGAAACTTAATTGCTATTGCAGGTAGTATATAAGTGGGAACGAGCCGGATCGGGTGACTATATCATATAGCTCCCATAGGAACAATCGGAAAAATAATTCAAAAAAATTATAACTCTGTTGTTTCTAATTTTTGTTTGTTTGTTCTTTGGGATTTGGTAATATTTAAATATTATGGAATTACGGTTTTAAATCGGACAACAATATTATATAGCTGCTAAAACATTGCAATACATGGGACTGTAATGTTACTGAAGATTTAATTGGTTGGTTGATATTTTTTCTGTGTATAGGTAAAGTAAAAGCTGAACAAGCTTTCTAGTATCATCAAGGTAAATGAAATGACAATTAAAAATGTACAAGAATTTATTCTTAAACTTAAACTTACCTAATAAATTGTAGTGTACTGAATCTAAATCTGACCACATCAGCGCTTCACAGGGCAAGAATTTTAAAAAATATTTGACTAGTGCATTTGAAATCTATTTTAGTGCTTCCTAGATTAGAAATCGATTAAAATATGACTGCCAGCAAGTACTGTATTTTTCAATGCTTACACCTTTTTGCATAACTTTACATAACGCTTAAAGGCTTCCACTCACAACCAACTCATTGCAACTCATTGGCCCTAACAATGGGCCAGGCAATACCCATCGTGGAGCACCAACTCCTTTCAGTCTCCCCTTTGACATGTGAGCTGCTTTGGTAGCTTTTCAAGGGTTTCTTGTTCTCCTAGCATTAGTGCATATTTTGAAAGGTCTTTTGTGAAACTTTGTTTTCCTTTTTCAATGCATTTGTAATACCACCTTTTATTTTAAGCTGAAGTAGATAGTTCACGAGAGTAATGCTTTGCTAAGTTACTTTCGTAATACTATATGAGAGGGGGACTTTTAACACTGTCATTGTGGAAGATATAGTTGAAGGTGTTCGAAATTTCATTTCTTGGTGTAGATATCTGTAATGGTGAACTAATTATCGATAAATTGTCTTGTGATATTGGTTTGCTTTCCACCCAAAAAAAATAAAATAAATAGTCATTTGTCTAAGTCCGAGATCCTGACGGAATCTCTGAAATGTAGAAATGTAGGTTTCCCAAATAAAATTAGCTCTTTTAAGTAAAAGAAAACATAATCAAGGGCATTAGCTTACGTTTTACTTTTATTACAACAGCTCTAATGAGAATTCTTCGTCATTAAATTGGCTTAGCATATTGGCATTAAAATCAATTATAACAAGAAAGGAATAAAACTTCGGCAACCCGAAGTTTATATACCCTTGCAGTTAATTCAAAACGACTGCATTTCGATTTATATTTATATATTACTAAAGCAATGAAGCTATGTCGATTATGCGCTGCATTTGGCCATCGATTCTTTGGCAGCTATATGATATTGTTGTCCGATTTTAATTTGATTAAAACCGTAATTCCATATTATTTAAATAATACCAAATACCAAAGAACAACAAAAAAATTAAAAACAAAAAATTATTTATTTTTAAATTTTGTTTTTCGTTCCGACTTATGCACTACCTGCAATAGAAAGACAACATTTGGAAAAGTTTCAAGCAGATAGCTTTAAAAGTGAGGGACTAGTTTGCGTAGAAACGGACAGAAAGACGGACATGGCTAAATCAACTCTCCTGGTGATGCTGATCAAGAAAATATGTACTTTATAGGGTCGGAAATGTCTCCTTTACTGCGTTGCAAACTTTTGACTGAAATTATAATACCCTCTGCAAGGGTATAAAGATCTGAAATAAAAAATGAATTTTTTAAGGCTGAATAAATTTGTTATGTGTTGTGTGTTGTAACACAGGGATACAGTAAAAATAACTTTACGAATAATTTTAACATATCCATAATATTAGTGCAATTTTAATAACCCTAATGAATCTGAAAATCAAACTAAAATTTTAACCTTATTATTTGTTTTCACGCGAACAAAGTTTATTATTTGCATACCACATTTTTAAATTTTGTTTTACGATTTTAAGAATTGGTTTTTATTTTTGTTTTGTTTGTCTGAAAATTAAAATAAAAAGTTAAAGCTTATTATTTGTTGTCACGGGAACAAAGTAGTGTATTTGCATCAAAAATTTATAATTTTGTTTTACGATTTTAAAAATTCGTTTAATTTTTTTTTAAGTATATATTACATTTTTAGCAGCCAAGAGAGAGACTAAAAAATGTAAAGGAAAATCGATTTAAAATTAGTTGCATTAACGCAAATGTAAAGTAATTTATAGTATAGTAATTTTTTTTGTAGCTGCAAAGATATATGCACTTCGACTTCCATAAGCTATACATGTATAAAGATTGACTGGCCAAAAAGCTTCCATTCTTTTTATACCCTTGCAGAGGGTATTATAATTTCAGTCAAAAGTTTGCAACGCAGTGAAGGAGACATTTCCGACCCTATAAAGTATATATATTCTTGATCAGCATCACCAGGAGAGTCGATCTAGCCATGTCCATCTGTCCGTCCGTCCGTCTGTCCGTCCGTCCGTCCGTTTCTACGCAAACTAGTCCCTCAGTTTTAAAGCTGTCTGCTTGAAACTTTCCCAAAAGTTGTCTTTCTATTGCAGGTAGTATATAAGTCGGAACGAGCCGGATCGGGCGACAATATCATATAGCTGCCATAACGTTGGTGTTTTTAAAGTTAGAAAGTTGGGATTTTCTATGGGTTTTATATTTGGCCAATCAATCCGACCTAACAAATGCCATAAGGATCCCATAGCTGCCATATAACTGAACGATTGGAAATGCCATAACTTTGGTGTTTTTAAAGTTAGGAAGTTGGGATTTTTTATGAGTATTTAGAATGCATCATATGAATAATTTTGGAGAATATAATTTACAGAATATTCTGCAAGGGTATATCAACTTCAACTCCGCCCGAAGTTAGCTTTCCTTTCTTGTTGCATTTAAATTTCGTGTAAATTTGAAGAAAGAGAGCAAAACTTTGAATTCTTAGGCATCATATAGGCATCAAATAATCAGAATATTTGCTAAAAGTGCTGAGCGCCTGATAATTATATTTAACCCGCTGTTTGTATTTATTATACCCGTACTCGTATACCCTATAGGGTATATATACTCTTGATCAGGATCAATAGCGGAGTCGATTAAGTCTTGTTCTTTTGTCCGTTCGTATGAACGCCGAGATCCAAGAGCTAGAGATTTGGGATTTTGCATAAAGGTTCAGGTTATCTAACGCAGTGCAAGTTTATATCAAAATGTGGTCACGTCTACAATAACGCAAAACCCTTTAGAGACCTGGTAGAGGCCAGTTATTGGGCGGTTCATGTCAAATCCGCACAAAAAAACTTATTCGGTAAATGAGCTTTTGAAATTTCGTTTTGTCCCGATCATCGGCAATCGATGGAAAGGCGGCTTGGAGCTTTCCCCGAAACACTACAGGATCTTCAACGGGCCTTATTTTGATGTGTCCTAAAGGATAGATTGGTAACAGGCTGTTGCAAACTGGGACTCACATCCCCGTTAATATACTCCAAGACTGTATTTGAAGAAAGATTTTGTTCTTCTGATGTAGTCCATTTCCCAGACTAAGACCAGCAAATGGATGTTCTTAATCTTAAGAATGCATATAAAACCGTTCTTTACGTATCTATGAGTTGTGGGTGGTCAGGACACGCCCACTTGCTTATGCTATTTTCCTTAGGTCTATAGTAACATAATACAAACAAGAAAGAAAAGCTAACTTCGGGCGGAGCCAAAGTTGATATACTCTTGCTGAATATTCTGTAAATTATATTCTCCAAAACTATTCATATGATGCATTCTTAATACCCATACAAAATCCCAACTTCCTAACTTTAAAAACACCAAAGCTATGGCATTTCCAATCGTTCAGTTATATGGCAGCTATAGGATACAGTCGGCCGATCCTTATGAAATTTGGTAGAAACCAATAAAACACATAGGGAATCCCAACTTCCTTACTCTACAAACACAAAAGTTATGGCATTTCCGATTGTTCAGTTGTATGTAAGCTATAACATATAGCCGGCCGATCCTTATGAAATTTGGTAGGTCGGATTGATTGGCCAAAAATAAAACCCATAGAAAATTCCAACTTCCTAACTTAACTCTACAAACACCAAAGTTATGACATTTCGGATCAATCAGTCGAATGGCAGCTATAGGATATAGACGGCCAGTCCCGGCCGTTCCGATTTATATACCCTCTGCAAGGTATAAAAACGGCACTGAAAAAAAAATCTCTTTTGGTTTACTCGTAATATTAAATGCCAGATAAAGTTTACCAATAGTGCAGTGGAAGGCGACATTCTCCTCATCCACTTAATTTTAGTTATTCCTTCGATTTAACGTAAAGGACACTTATTGCTCGGTATATCTTTCCTCATTAAGAAATTAAGTGTTAAGTGACGGCAGCTGAAATTGAACTTGTGCTGCTTAGATTTCTCGTCAAATGTGCTAACCCCTAGGCTACACACATAACATAATATTTTTACTTTTTAGGGTTAGAATAATTTTAGGGCCCGGGTGTGATATTTTAGAAAATGTTTTTAACGTTATGAAAAATATTTCTATATATCAGAAAAAATTTCTAAATTTTAGAAAATGTTTTTTTTTTCGAGTTATCCAATTTTTAGGGTTAGGTTGAGAATTTTTAGATTTAATTTTTTAGGGTAAGTTCTTCGGGATGAATTCAAGAACCACTTTGCGATTGGTACCAATGGCAACATTTTCTGCATTTGATTTAAGAAAAAAATGTCATTGTTTGTAGAAAAAAAATTCTTAAACCTATATATCATTTCTTCGATTTAGAAAAAAAAAGCTTATACCATTAAGGGTTCATTTTGTATGAGTCTATAGTCACAGATATTATATTATATAATATTAATATGGCTTCACTGCTTTTAAAAATATACCAATTTTTTGGCTTGTCGAAGCCGCTTTCTGTTACCGTTTTTGTACCGTTTATCTAACCTAGTTAATAATTTTCGCAGGAGTATACTATAACCTTTCCCTACACTGACAGTGACATACATTCTAAACCAGGACTAATAGCGATCTAGCTATGTTCCTCTGTTTCCCAACTGTCCTTATGAACGTCAAGATCTCCTGATGCAGATTCTAGTAATGCAAACATACCGCGAGTGTTATTGTTGGCCACACACCCTAACGCCCAAATTCTGTAGAGTCATGGTAGATAAATGCTTTTGTGCTGTATATATTAGTTCAATCAATATCAAAACACGCAGCCAGTTGAAAAATTATGTTGTTAAAAAAATAAGTTTAAGCTCAAAGACATCTGCGCAAATGACATCCCAATAGCAAATAAAATGGCGCCACCGCTGGGTTTTTTAATTGGTTAAGAGAGTATAGAGTATCTCATAGACGTGGCACTCGATCATATACATAGTTCCTTTATCTTTTCCGTTTTTAGCTTTATAGGTACTGGTCAAAGTCTTATTTGATTAATTGTAAATCGAGTTCACGGTTTTTATAGTGCGGGCTGTGGTTTTTTTTAAGCTTGTTATTTTGCCTTTGTTCTCTATCAGGTTGAATACACTTAAAAAATAATGTGTTTAAAGCTTAAATATACATATTCGATTTTTAATTAAAAACTAAGATTAGCGCTTCTAAAATTATTAAATTTTATTCGACTGCAAGCAGACAAAATCAAATTGACCTAAAAATGTGCAAAATTGCTTAAATTTCATTTCTCAGTGTTTTGTTTTTAGAATTATAGTCCAAATTATTGTATCCATTATTTGTAATGTATAATTTAGTATAATTTTAGTTCAATTTGGCCTTTTTTTTCTCATAAAAGTGTCGCCCAATTTCAGAGGGTAGTATAATATTGGAAACGCTTCCATAGCATCGAATATACTTTAATAAAGTTATCTATCATCACCGAGAACCCTTTGCAAGTACAGTTTTTTTTAGAAACAACCAATTTCATTGCTTTAAAAAATTGACCCTCAATTGATAACCTGAAATACAAGGCGTATATGCCTCGGACAAAGAGAGAGATTAATCTTATTATCATCTTCTCATTAAAAAACGATGGGAAATTTTCAAGCTTATCAATTCAAAGTTCATTTTCCCGACAAGGTTTACCTCTTCCAAAAATAGAGTAATATTTTCAAAAATAAATAAATAACTGCACTTTTAATATTAAGACATTATTTTAATGACTAAGCTAACGTAGACTTCAAAGAATCCAATTGAAGCTTTCAGCCGCGGAAAAAAGATCCCCGCGTCTCCAAAGCGCCCACATTAGGCCTCGAGCTATTCCGATGGGCCTCGATGGCTTGGTAGTTTATGAACCAGAAGGGCTGGTTTTCGACGGGTAGCTGGCTCAAGTAGTTGACCCACTCCCGATCTCCATGGGCATCGACGGGCAGGTCGCCGAGTACTGGGGTAGTGGAACTTCCGGGCGTGGAATTAGACGGTGGGTTCGGGGAGCTGGCAGAAGGGATCGGGGAACTAGCAGTTGGGTTCGGAGATCCATCTGATCCAAAGCGGTTGGCCACAGATGGAGCATCCTGCGCCACAGAGTTACTTATGGGCTGCACTACGGGAACTCCAACGGGCGGCTTCTGGGGTGCTCCAAAGGGCAGGTCAATCAGAGCAGGTTTTTGCGCACTGTCTGCTCCAAATCTGTTCGCTATATACACTCCGGTAATATTCTCCACAGCCGTGTTTTGGGTTGCGTGGTATTTGTCCTTCTGACTAAGTCCGCCTGGTGGCCTCAAGCCCGCGAAGGATGGTCTTTGGGCCTGGATAGTTTCCAGCAGAGTCATGGTGATGATAGCCGCAGCGCAAATAAACTTGAACATTTTTGAAAGCAAATTTCACTTTTTCTATACGAATTTCTCTGGTGGCTCCACGCGGTGTTCACTGGTCTGATCCTCTCCGACAACTGAGATGAGACAGCTTGTGAGATTATTTAAATAAGTTTCGACTCTCTGCTCGACCACAGCATTTCTTTGTGTCTGTTGACAAGGTGCACAGAAAAAAATTGTATATGGTGTGGTGATCAATGAAATGATTTTACATATATTTATGGCCCTGATTTTAATTCTATATGTGTCAATGTGTTAAATCGATATTTTTAAATAATTAAATTTAGCTTTCAAATTCCATAATTACATTTATACTGAAAATATTCAAAAACTTGAATGGACTTACGGCACTTTAATTTGTGAGATTTTTGTGAGCATTGTTTTAATTGAATGAATTGCATACCTTGTAATAAGTTACTTGAATTTTAGTGGTCAACGAAAGGCCGAATTCGCTTGTACTGCTAGCCTTCTAACATCTTTACTTTTTTAATTTATTTGTATAAATCAAAACATTTTGTGGACTTACATTATATAGGAAATATATATATTTCTAACAATGATTTCACAGAAAACAAATTTCTCATTCTACTCATAAGTATTTTTTAAGTTCCACCTACCCATTTATAATAACTTTAGAAATGCGTATTTAATTGCTACGCCTTGAGCTGAGAAAAAGAGTATCTCATATTCGCTAAGGGGATCAAAGCAGGTTTGTTTGCGGTTTGGGCAATCCCAAAAGCAGATGCATTCGTCACCGCTTTGTGAAGCGTGCGTCCTGAAACCGGTTTCCGGATTTCCCCTTTTCCCACTCGCCGCATAAGCCACAATTACTTCTTGATCGAATTCGCAAAAACTTTGTTTTTGGGCGCGTCTAGCAGGTCTTCTTACGTTTCGGGTTGACTCACTGGAATGTCTGTCAGAAAAAGAACGTTCTGGCCATCTCTGTGTCTCAAATCATTATTTATTTGCTTTAGAATATAATCGAGTAAGATTTTCATGTGTGTTTCTGTGTGTTCAGGTGGGGAAAAGTGTGCGCGTGGGTTTATTTGTCGTCATCGTGGCTCGGTCGGATCGTCATGGGTTTTTGTTTTGATTTGGCTGCTGAAATGAGAAAAAACGATAGCTAAATATTAGCTTAAAGGCAAAGCTTAGAAAAATATTTCTTGGTAGATCGGCTGGTTTTATAATAAATTTGATTTTAAATTATCGTAGCTTATGTTTATGTTTTCAAGACTTTGTGCATGACAATTGTATTTAAAATCAGCAGAGTTATATTAAATATCTTAAAAGTTGTTATCACAACTACCAGCTTCAAAAAACAATTGTTAAAACTGTGATTTAATTAATATATTCAGAAAACAAGATGAACTTGACTTCGTTATTACCTTTGCCAGCGTGTCTTGGCATATAATTACTTACCTGGAATTTCATCTAGAAACGTCGCACGGAGGAGCGGGCAGCGCTCAACTTGGCCGGACGAGCTGCAGCGGAAGCCGCTCGACGGTTGGAAATGGGCTGGGCGGCTCTCCGGTAGTTGGCCGCCCTCCTGGCAGCCACCAAACGAGCCTGCTGCTCCGCCGGAATGTCAGCGGCGGCGGGCAGATCGTTTCCGGTCACGTCCGGGGGGCCGTAGACCTCGTCGGGAACGTTGTTGGGCGCGGCATCGGGCGGTCCGTAAACGGCATCCGGAGTGGGCTCGGCGAACGAAGGGGCCGCCGCCTCATCGAAAGGCACTTCCGGCTTCAGCTCGTCCGCCGAGGGATAGGGCGTGACGGCGTCCGGAGCAGCCCCGTCCGCGGGAGCCAGCTCCTGGCGAGCGGAGTACCGCGAACGTCCGCGGCTCAAGCGCTGCGCATAGCGCTGCTGCTGGGCTTCGGAGACGGCCAACAAGCCTAGGGCCGCGACCACGAGGATAGCCTGGAACTTTGCCATGATGGAGTGGATGTGATGGAAGTGTATCTGGGGGAAGACTGAACCAACGACTGATGACTTGAAGAGCTTCCCTGGGCGCTTTTATAGGTAGGACTTGGATGGGCAGCTGCTTAGTGTGCGCCGCGTGGACCCAGCGAAGGCATCCTTTTTTGGACCTGCGCTCTGACGTCGGCACTCTACTATAGTCTTGGGGCTCCACGATCGGCGGTGTCTGCGGCGTCTTTATGCGCCCACGACGTGACCAGAAAGAACTAGCAGATGCAGAGGTCCGAGGTTCCGCCAGCAACCAGTCCAATATCGGAGAGTGTGCTCCACCTCGATTGAACCAATCGCTCAACATTAAAGTGCTCTTAATGTGACAGGAGATGGAATTAATGGCTGGTCGTAAATTTGGTGTGAAGTTAAAGGATATTGGGATTTTGAAAATGGAAATGGAAAAAGTCTGTTTTGCTTGACGGCTTCGTTTTGAGAATAACTAAATTAAGCTTAATATATTTTGTTGGTAGATTGGTAGATTAAGCTTTCATCAAAATATGATTAAGTAAGAAAAATGTTGTGTCCCATCTACATTCAATTCCAAGCAGCCACTCAGAATAAGTGTTTGCGTCCCCTAATATAACTAGTAATTGTTTTAATTTGTGAATATTTTTGAACAAATGTACAAAAAGGAAAATAGTTGAGCATGCAAATACAGAATATTAATTAATTTATATAATTTTACCTTTTTACTAAAATGCTTTTCATATACCAATTGTTGCTATATTGGAAGCAATTTGCATATCAAAATTAGATTGAATCTAGAAGACAGGCCCATTACAAAAACCAAAAACTAAATTGTTTATAATTTTCAAATAAGCCAATCTAAACATATAAACTTCTTTTTAGATAATCTATTCTGTCGCACCTCTTAATATATAAAATAAAACCACTATAAGTTCAGTTCAGATAATAAAGCGGCAGGACGTGACTTAAAACAATCGTTTGAGGAATGGGCCGTTTGACCTTGGTGTTCACCTCATCGCCAAATCGTTGATCGCATAAATATCGATTATAAGTGTTTAATCAAAAATTCTAACACTCAAACTGACAATTTCAGCATAATGCAATTGACAACAGTGGTCTATGCCGACTTCGTTTCGTTTTCGCTTTCAATTGGTTGGGATTGGGTTGCGTATCACGTACGGGACGCATTTAATTTTCATAGAACATGGCGAATCGGACGTGGACACCGGACAGTGTGGCAGTTGGGAACCGGCGATAATGTAGGCGATGTGGTGGATGTGTCGCCGGCGGACGTGGCTTTGCGGGCGGAGACCAGAAACAAACAAAAACCTATGCGAAATAAATCATTAAATGTGCGCCTAATCGATGTCGCGTCGATATGGAAGCTTCATGTCTATACTCCCGGGACGACTCTCGCTTTCGAGAACTTTATATAAAAGTGTCGCCCCCGATCCAAGCTGGAATCAGTTGGTTCTGAGTCCCTGCCGAGATCGAGAGTTCACCATGCAGTGGCTTCTACCCGTTATCCTTTGCCTGTGGGCCGTCAGACCCGTCGAGATCGAGGCGCGTCAGATCAGGATCAATCGCTATGCAGTCAGTGTGCAGGAGGATCAGGCCGTTGAGGTCAAGGCCGCTCCCTATCCACCAGCGGGCTACAGGCCTCAAGGTCGCGCCTTTTGGCTGCCAGGCGAAGTGGAGGTTGAGGTTCAGGAAGTGCCCATTGAAGGATCTGGTTTGGGGGCTGATCAGCTAGCCACCACAACCGAGCTGCCTCTAGAGGATCTGTCAACCAGCACCACAGAATCATCTGGGGACTGGAGCACCACCACCAGCTGGGATTCCCTGGACACCACGACTGCTGCTCCGGAATGGGACGCACGCTCAAGTCGCGCCTTCGCGAAAGCTCCTTATCCACAAGCTGGTTACCGACCAAGTCGCGCCTTCCGTCTGCCCACCGAGCAGAACCTGGAGGAGCAGCAGCAGATCTCCGCCAGCAATTCGACTAACAGCAATGCCGACCATCCCGTCTGCGGGGTCAGCACGGATCCCCTGAAACCCACGCCGGAACCAGGATCCAAGGATGAACCCGATGCGGAGAGTGTGGTGTTCACTGCCAATGTGGGACCTGCTGTTTTCGTGGCCCGATCTCCGTCCTCCATTCCAGTGGCCATTCCCCTGCGATCGCAGCCTTTGGTGCAGGCTCCGCGATCCCGGGGATTCGCTTACACTTCGCATGTGGAGCAGCGGTGGTGAGAACTTCGATGGGAGATATATTGTTATCCTTGTTAACAGTTCAGTATTTTTAGTTACTTTTGAGTGTAAACAAATAAATGTTTTTAATTGTTATTTCCCTTAAAGTCAGTTGGTATTTGTCGGGATATTAGGTTGGTAAACATGAGCCAAAGTGACAAACAAATAAAAAAACATATATTATAAGCCACTAATTCCTTTCTTAACGCAACTTTTGTAGTTTTCCTTTACTTGACAGCTAAGATTCTAGAAGTTTTTATGGGTGTTCAAATTATAACGTCATCACTCTATTCATTTTCATCGACCGGAAGTCTGGCACGTTCCAAACTTTGTTTGTCTAACGTCATAGAATGTTTTGTTAAATGTTTTTCTTCTCGTTTCCTATTGAAGGAGGAGTAGCGTCAAGCAGCAAACTGTTTTCTATCAAATTGTGACGGGTTCTGGCTGGAGACTGCCGGAGAGTTCCTTTTCCCGAATTAAATTTGACGTGCGGATGTGCAAAGTTTTAACCGTGGAACGTGCGTGGCATGCAGAAAGGCGGGAGGCGACTCTGGAGGTGGAGCTTAGACTCTCCTCCGGCTTAGACCCTCCCCATCTTCGCGGGGGATTCAAATTGAATAACGAGTATGCGAGTGCTTCCATGCCATCTGAGCGGAGGAGGCAGTGGGATGGTAAATCCGCCGGAGACCATTGAACCTGCATTTAACTGAAAAGGACTTGTTGAGCGGGTGGCGTTTCCGAGGCATTTATGGCAATATTTCTGAATATTTTATGTGAGAATTTCGTGAACGCCATCCAGTTGAAGCGACAGCTCAAATAAATGTTAACACAAAGTAATATATTTATGAAGAGATTTATTTTGGCCAAATCCAATTTATGAAGGCAACAATTGAAAATCCTTAGAAAAGCTAATGTTTTCGTAATTCTTGCACTTACATTGGGTAATTGATTTTTAAAATAAAGTACAAATACAAAAATACAATTTCGAATGTTGTATTTAGAAAATTTGAACAATGCTTAAATAAGCTGCATAGAAAATACGAAATAAAAACATTGTATTATACAAAATACAGAAATACTCATTCCGAAAATAACTGCGTGCATTGCGCGAATATTCATAAATAAATTATTGTTTACTCAAGGAATGAATCCGAAATGATATAAAAACATATTCCTATGGTATACCTCTTAAAAACTCAAGGTACTAATAGTAGTCTGAAAATGGGATAAAAACATAATATTAGACAGAAATGGTATTGGTTATAAAATGGGATAAAAACATTATGTCACCCATAATAGCGACCCATAACAAAATTTCTTCAAAAACAGCTAATTTTACATGATTGTTACTGCGGCAACTATAGGATATAAACGACTGACTAGTGACGTTTTTTCAATTTGATCAGCGTACTCATATAAAAAGACAATTGCGAAAGTGTCACGGTCTAGGCTTAAAAGTGACCATGCAAACGTATAGAAACTGACGGACTGTATCAACTGCCCTAGTGATGCTGATCAATAAATATCAGAGCTCACAAATTAAATATATAATTTATAGAGTCGAAATGCAAGGGTATACAAAAAATAAGTGAAACTAAGCTTTTAAAAGAAAATCTTTTTGCCCAGGTACTATAACTACAAACTCAAATTTTGTGATAAATAAATTAAATCAAACCACAATGACACTCATTTTAGGTAAAAAGGTTTTAAAAATGGGTAAACGAACTGTATAAAATCTGGAAACAATAAAAAATGACTTATTTAGTATTTCAAGCACTCAAACATGGTGGCAACTACTTGATTAATTTTAATACAAGTCTTATTTTAATTAACTTAAAGATATTAAATGCGCAAGCTGTTATACCAGATATTCCTTTAAAATAATTTTTTTCAAGAGAAAATGTATGTTTATTTTTCATTCATTCGTTAAAAAGCCATTTGGGAGGTTAATTCAAGAAGTAACAAAAATCGTAAAAAGAGTCAAGAAGAAACTTTAACAGAGTCCGAGAGACAACCGCACCGGGTTAATTGATTCGTCCGGGCACGCCTCCTTGGCCAAGTCACCGCAAATTGTGCACGTAATTGACAATCAAAGGATCATCGAGGCTGGTGGGCACGATTTCCACGGAGTGCACCACCGGCTGCAAGTGGACATCGCTGTCGATGTGCGTGAAGCTGGCCAGTTGCAGGTCCAGGTCATCGTGGCCACCATCCACCAGCACGTACTCGGCCTCCGGCTGCACCAGGGCGAGCTCCACGGCCGCATTATTGTCGCCGGGCACCTGCGGCTGCTCGGCAATGGATAACGTAGCAGTGGCATTGTCCTGGGAGAGGGATACGGCCACAGTCGGAGGCGGGGAGTCCACTCCTGCCGGGGTCGCATCGATGGCAAACAGTTTGGTCGTGGTCGGAGTCGTGCTGCTCTCTGTGGTTGAACTTTCAGAGGAGAGCTCCTCCCCCTGCTCCGCGATGTCCTTCGGCTGCTCTGTTGTGGTTGCCTCGCCAGCATCCTTGCTCTCCTCCCCCTCGTCGTCTTGCTCCTCCAGCTGCCGCTCAATTTCATGGCCTCGCTTGGGCGGAGTACTAAGTAGCAGCAGCTTCCCGGACTTCTCCTGGACCGCGGGGCTATCCTCATGTAAAGTGCCCGGGGCAGGATCAATCAGTATGCTGGCCTCCTCATCGCGACTCAGAGCAGGAGCCGCCAAAGTGGTGGACTCCTCGGTGGTGACGTCCCCCGCCTGGTCCGCAATAACCACACTAGTGGTGGCTTCCGGAATCTCGGGATCCCCCTCGGGACGAATAACAGCCGCCTGGACCAAAGCCAGGCAGAGCAGTGCGCAACCGAATCCTGTCCACATGTTCGCTGGTCAATATGTTGACGATTTGATGGCAATTTGTTCCAGACGGGTGTATTTATACGAGTGCTTTCCACCCATTCGGGAGCTGTCATAATTTTAGCCCTGGGCATTTAATTTGACGCGAAACTTCCGCAAGCGGCCCAAACCGGAAATGTAATTCCCCCAGTCTGCGGGTGTGAGTGTGAGTGTCCGTTGGAGGGTGTTGTGTGAGTCTGTGGCGGCATTGAAGGAGGCCAAAAAGGCCTGGGTCGTTACACCTTCAGCCCCACACAGCCCCCATTGACCGCAACGATGGCCAGAGTGCCAACCCCAAAAGTCACTTTACATTTTCGCCTTTACCTCCGCCACATATACTTGATGGACTACGGTGGCGCCCAAAAAAATAGTGCTTATTTTAAAAGAAAACAAAAATATTTTCAAAATAATCGAGTAGTTCTTAGGTTCATGTTAACGCGACTTAAAGTATGCAATTCTCTTACTATTGCAATTCGTTGGTTAAATGTGTTGTAACAAAAACTTTAAGGGCTATTATACCTCTAAAATTGTAAATAAAATTTGAGAGAAGAAACCGTTACCAACCCTGTAAAATATATATGTACTTCATATAAATCTTTTTCGAGTTATTATACCTCAAAAAATTAAACAAAGAATTTTAATTTTTAATAATACAAATAAATATATAAATAATAATAAATAAGAATTCCCTTTCTTTGCTTTAAGATGTATTAAATAATATTTTGTACGTCCATCACTATTTAGCAGAATATGGTATAGTAACAAAAAAAAATTCCTTTCCTGGCTTTAAATGTTTTAAATTTTTTTAAATCACTATTTAGCAGAATATGGTATAGTAATAAAAAAAAATTCCTTTCCTGGCTTTAAATGTTTTAAATTTTTTGTACGTCCATCACGATTATCTTGGCCTCTACTATATGTGCGTCTTATGTGTTGGTGCGTATCTGTGTGTGCGCTGTGTAGTTTTGTCGGTTTAACTTTGTGATGAGCAAAGTTAGTGGCTTGACCGTGTCAGCTGTTGGACATGCTGGTCACGTTCTTCGGGTGACTTTGTTTTCTTAAATGGGAAATGATAAAATTGAAAATAAATTCATATAAACACACATACCCACAGGAAACAAATGTGTCTTGAGGGCAAAAACAATAGCAACAGGCTACAAGTTCATTGATTGCTTGCTGACCCAGAGAATAAGGCATAAAATGCACAACAGTCGTTGGAGTAATTGCATTTGGGCGTAGTTTAATTGGATTCCTGAGGTTGATATTTGTCAAAGTAAGGTCAATATAATAGGCTTGGTTTTTTGTTTATATTCTTTTACTCCTTTGTACCTTTTGTTTTTGAGAAGGATTGCGTTAAGCTTAACTGGATCAAGTGAGGATAGGATCTCTTTATTGCACCAACTAAAATGTTTTGCAACTAACACTTTCTCCTTTCTGTAATTGTTCATTTTGTTACCTTTTGGAAAAATTCAGATCGCCTTTCTGTAATTGTTCATTGTGTTACCTTTTGGAAAAATTCAGATCGCAACAACTTAGCAAAACACATTTGGCATTCATAAATGTTTTGAACTAAATCAAAAAATTCCTCCCTTTAAACCCCTTTTGTGCACAGGATGCAAACATTTTAATACAAAACTGCTTTAATTGATGGTATAGTATTTATATATATAAGTTTATTATCGAAGATTCAACACTACTTACGTTTAAAATATTGTACGTCTTATGCTTTGTTATTTTCTTATTGATTTTTGTCATTACTTGTATTACTTTTGTTGTTCTTCTTTTCTGTCTCGTTTTTGTCTATAACGAAATTTCTAATTTCATAAAATGAGTATGTGTCGTGTTATATGTAGATATAAATGTATAATAATTGCATATGATCGATGGCTTGTACATGAAGAGTGGGGAGAAATTGCGAAATGGCCTGGATATACTCGTATCTTTTAGGTAACTATATGATTTTATATAGAGTTTAGTTTGGGGCCTAGTCCCCGATTGATATCGATGCCACTGAGTGGGCATCCGAGATATGTGTGCTTCGTTTAGATACAAGATTCAAGATACAATTAGTTAAGTACAATTATGATAATTATTGTTCAACGTTTATGCAAATGTTGTGGAGTTCATAGAATTATATTTCGTTTTTTCGATTTCACTTTAGATGGTAACCTGTGTAAATTACACGTATAAAATGAATTTACGTCTACTTACAAGTTAAATAAAGTTGTTCTGTTTTGTCTTACTTGTCATTAATTTCTGTTTTTGGTTTGTGCTTCGTGTTTTTTTTTTCAAAAATCTACTTTTGTTTTTCTGCCACATCTTCCAGCTAAACCTACCCATCTAATCCGATTCCATAGCCATCAGGAAGCACGAAATGCTCACTCATCTACCACTATCTAATCCTTTCTTTGCTAAATTAACTATGCCGTACTTTTGGTAGGACTTGGCTTTATAAATGTCAATATTTTAGACCAAACAAAAGCTATTATCATTTCAACTCGAAATATTTTGTGGTCGGCTTTTAGGCTGTTCTACAAATCAAGCGTCAATACATAATTTAGCGTTTAATGAGATTTTCTTAATCGAGTCTGGGTTAATTGACAGAGTTAACATAATATTGCACTCAGAGAAATGAATTTAAGCCTTTTACAAGTGTTAAGTAGTTAAGAGAAAACAATTTTATAACCAATAAGTAATAATACTTTTTCGACCAACAACCAGATTTCGACAATCTAATAATTAAATAAATCGCACATTCGTTTTTTAGGGAACACAAATCAAAATTCATTAACCCAAAACATCAACAATTATCAGATTGTCCCCTCCGATTCAACCTCGTTCTAGGCAATATTATGAACTTTGGCCGACAAGCAATTGTGCACGACAAAAACCACAGGCTTGGGGCAGCACTCCATGTCAAGTTCCTGCAGGCAAAAAAGCGTGGTTTAATGAAGTTAAATAATTTTATGGGGCATTGCTTTAGAACTCACAATCTCTCCATCATCGCCAAAGTCCAGATACAACATCCTGTTGCCATCATCCGCGGAGCCCTTCAGTTTGTCGAATGCGAACTGCCAAAGCTGCGTTTTGGAGGTGGCCACCGTCGGAGTGGTTGGAGCGAATCCACCGCAGTCGTACAGAAAGAAGCCACGATTTATGTGCACAACCAATTGACACTGCCGGCCCTGAAACAGGCAGCGGAAGGAGAACTCCCTCTGGTAGTTGACCGCCTGATGGGAGCCCTGGACGAGGGACCTGGCCCAGGCGGCCATGTCCCGGTGCGTCTCCGAGCGCAGCCAGTAGACGAGAACCCCGCGGGCGGTTCCGCAGCGGACGCAGAACACCGTGGTCTGCTGACCCTGCCGAAAGAATACAATTCATAAAGTATTTGGCTTTTTTCGAGCCCAGTGCTCAGCTTACGTTCAGCGAGGAGTTGTTCCCGGCTCCCGCCAGACGCGTCGTGGCCAGGGCGTAGATCTCCAGGGGACGACTCCAGGCCTCCACCGACCAGGGAGCACTCTCGTATATCCGGAACTCACGCTCCGTCACCGCCACGAAAATGGGCAGCCACTTGTCGCTCTCATCCGAGCTTTCTGAACTGGAACGACCGCTGGGCTGTGGAACGAAGAAGTATGTAAAAATAAGTATGGAGGTTGTAAACAGGGTCTATAGCAAATAGTAAGTCTATGTCAGGTAAAGGGATTCCAATTTCTTTTACACCCGGTAGTTTCCTACACTATAATCTTTGCGCGGCCGTTTCATCATGTTTTACATGTATTTATCTTTAAAATACCGAAAGTTTTTAACCAATTAACGATTTAATAATTTTTTAATTTCAGAAACAATCCTATTTTTTTGATTAATATTGTTTAGTTCAATTTTCAGAGCTTCTAATAGGTAAAATAATACAAAAAAATCGACGTTTTCAAAATTGTTGCATAACTTTTATAAATTTTAAAATAAAAAAATCATAAATCTGATTTATGAGCCAGAGAAAAATCTTTTTTTAAAACTTAAACGCTAAAATATTATAGGCGACACAAAATATTTTTTAGAGCGGTCGAACCGATTGGAATGAAATGAATTTTGATGAAATGGATTTTCTACTTAAAGAATGTTGTTATTAAGACTGGTGGACGATATTTTATAATGCTATAATGCGAAATAAGACCATTGATTTTGTATTTATAATAGCTGTTTTGATACTTTTATCCAGCATCGAAAGAAGTTCAAAGTTACTTAAGGTAACGCAGTGGAGCTTCGAAACTTTATTAACGTATTTTGTAATTGTCTTTAAATTAAGCAGGTATAGTTGTCGGGGATTTTGGGTGAACTTACACTTACCAGCTCGCCGGCTACGCCGCTGTTCGAAGTGCCGCTGCCCCCGCTGGCCGCCCCGCCCCCGGCGCTCCCGGAGCTCCCACCGCCGCCGCCGCTCGTCCGCTTGCTCAGCCAGCCGATGTGCTTCAGCTCGCCGATGAGGTTGGTCAGCGCCCGGTTGGCCTCGGCCAGCGCCCGCTGCGTGCTGCTGCCCATCGCCGAGTGGAGGGCGTTGAACCAGACCAGGGCCTCCGCCGAGTCCGCCGCTCGCAGGATACAGGAGTGCACTCCGTCCGGCGAGTGCAGCTCGAAGCACCGATTCTCTGGGGAAGCAAGATAGATGTCACGAATTGAATATACTAGAGCATTCGCTGGCACCCATTAAGAGATAATGTTACGATTGCTATATTTTAAACCGATATATACTGTCATTATTTGTTTTTTTCCGTATTTATCAGTTAATCATTTAAGTAATCGTTTTATATGTATTTCGTTTTATGTATTTGTTGTACAAAAAATAATCCTTTTTATTTGTCGAGAAACCCCAATTTATATTTTGGAAAATAATTTATTCAAACGGAATGTTGGAAATATTATTTTTGACAAAAAGCCATTTTAATACGAATATTATAGAAAATAAATTGAAGGATTTTTAATTGGCAATATCATTAATCATTATCATCTGCAACAAATTAATTTAAAAAATCATATTTTAAAGGCCATTTAAAGGCAGCACATCTTTTTTGAGATCGAATTTCTTACCCGGGTCGATGTACTTAAGATTCCTGGCCAGATGGGTTAGCTGCAGCGGGATATATCGCGTATCCGCCCGAGGTGTCGTCTTTGGAGCGGGCGGCGAGGTGGGTACGCCCGGTCCCAGCGGACAGAGGAAAGCCCTTTGGAGCTCCCAGCCCACTTCCGAGATGATGCTCGCCTTCCGAAAGTAGGGCGTCACTTCGCGTAGGAATTTGACTGCAAGACACACGTACAGAAACCAACCAGGGATAAAAACATCAGTGCAAATCAAACGATATCGCATGAATATGGATGCAGGTCGGGGGATTGGGGGACAGTATCACCAGCAAAACACTCGCAAAAACAGCACACACAGCATTCAATCAGTCGGATTTAAGGCCTTCTTCGTTAAAGCCGATGTTGCTGTTGCTGTTGCTGTTGCGGCAGTCTTGGCAAACGCTGCGGCATAAATTCATTAGAGTTTCCGCTCCATTTTTATTCGATTTGCACACCCAAAGTCCCCCGACTAGCGTAGAACACTTAGGTACGGTGGGCACGTCTTAAAAAAATTATATAAATTCTTCTCATCTCACTCTTTCATAATTTATATTTCATTCAATCACTTCTTAAAAAGTTTAATTTAGGATAGTTTCATATATTTTCATCGGCCAGATGAATTGTTCCCTAAGTTATGTTGCTTTAATATTTAGCTTTTCTGTATTCCTATTTTCAAAAAGTTGCTGATTTAAAAATAACTAAGCAAATCTGAGATTATACATTGACTATCATTTTTGATATTTTGAAATATAATAAAAACTTATCCTTCAATGATTATTATTGCTTGCATAAAGCATACTCTAAGTCAATCTAGTTTATGATTTTCGTATTAGCATAGATATCCCAGCAAACCACTGTGCAACTAGTATGCAAATGGTGCTGAGTATGATAGGAGCTCTGCCTCCGAGGGGAAAGGGGTATTTTCCAAGTCTCCCCACTCCGAGTCGTATGTCTAACTGGCAAGCCCCATCGCCCAACCTGAACTGAGCCCACTTGATATGCGCAGGATTCCGCCCACAACATTTGCACAATTTCCGTTTGCTGTTGCCGTTGTCGTAGCTATTCCCGTCCTGTTGTTGTTGCTGCCATCGTCGTCGCTTGCCGTGCGAGTGATTTGGAAATTCAATTTTCACACTTAATGCCATCGGCCGACGGTTGACGGCGGTTTGTCCGACTCAATTGGTGTGTTTAGCTCAACTAATTAGAGCGGACGGCCACACGGCGGATGGGTGATTCGAAGGCGGCCGTCCACCCCCTCGCTAATTGCTTGCCATTTACGTGCACTGGAAGGTGGAAGCCGCAGGCCACTCCGACTCTCCAACTCTGCGGCTCCCACGCCCCCTGGAGTTCTGCAAACATTTGCATTCACAAATATGCAACCGACGACAAACAAACAGCCGAACAAGCCGGGCAACTAAAAATAAAAAATGTTGCATAGCGGCAGGCGCAAAGTGTGATGAAGCTTTCGAGAAAAGGGGGTTTGAGGTGGGCGTTGGGGGTGGGGATATTTGGGAGTGGACTGCAGAGCAAACTAAGCCAAAAACGACAAACGAGAAACGCAACTGGCAGCGGCAAAAGTTTAGGTGCAACAGCAAAAACAACAATAACAACGGTAATAAGTTGTGCAAATTTTAGCATTTAAGTGTAAATAAAGTTGCCCGCTCCATGAGTGTGTGTGTTTGTGCTAAAAAACCATTCCAGAAAAACAAACAAGTTACGGAAAAGTTGGCTGAAAACCACCGCAGGCCACAATTGTTAGCTGCTTAAGTATGAATATTTTGCACTTACATTTTTCAAATAAATATGGAATTACAAGCAATCCACTGAAGATTAAAGTCAACATGTGGGTTAAACCAACAGAGCTCGAAATGTTGAGTGAAGCAATTTAATAAAAGCTTTTAAACATTTAAATGTCTGCGCAAAAATCTCATGAAATGCATTTATTTCTTGATTCTACTGGTTTAATCTTTGTAAGCTTCTAAGCAAAGTTCACTGTTTTATTTTATTTCCTATATACCATCACAAAAACCATTACAAATCTGATTAAATTAATAACTATATTATTTATTTGTCAGGGAATATAGCTAAAATCTCTTAAAACAAAGTGAAACGTAACGAAACTACATTTTGTTAATGACTTTAAATTGCGACTCCATTACAATTTAATTTGAATTGTAAACATTTTAAAAAGTCCCTTAAACACGCAACTCAATTCATTAGTTCGCCAAAGACGCTAGGTATTACTCCTAAGCTCTAAAGTAAAGTTTAAGTGTTCTTTGCATTTAATTTAGGTTAAGCCCCTTGCATTTTATTTTACCCAGCTCTATGAGATCATCTTTACGGTAATATTATTACCTAAAACGCATTCATTTGACTCCGCTCTCTCGCTTTTAGCGCTTGCCACATTACCCCACCTAATTCATAGTCGGGCCAAAAAACTTTTTACACCTTTGCCGACAAAAGGAAATCCTGCAAATCCGGCAATCCTGCCACCCCAGAGCATAAATCAAGGAGGCAAACCGAATAGTGGGCGTGGCCAGTCGGAATATGATATCAACAGCAGGCGGCATTCGGAATTCGGCAAATCGTGCGTTAAAACAAACTTTGCGCAAAACTTTTGCGAGTAAAATCTCACGCGTTCCTGCCGAGGAAGTGGGCAGGTTGGCTAAGTAGGGGCCACTTGGGTGGTGCTGGTGGGTTGGTCGCTTGGTGGGGTTGAGGATTGCTGGGTGGGAGGGTGAGTGGTCCGGTCGGTGGGTCCACAAATGTGTGCCAAGCTGTAAAAACCAATGCTAATGGACTTCTGGGAGGCGAGCAAAGCCAACTGTCGTCGCCTGCGTCGCCATCTCGGGAATCTGTCGCTGACATTTGGCAGTCGGAGCCGGAATCCAGTTGCAGAACCCCCATTTCGCTGCCCGCACCCTTGGCTTATTTAAATTACAATGAGACGGCTGCCTGCGCGCAAATACTTTGGGCCAAAGTTGTGCGCACAGCGGCCAGCGGAGCCTGGCAAACAACTTGGCCAACTTGTAAATTGAAGTTCGAATCAAGAGGTGGGCCGGAGTCAGTGGGCAGAAATGGGGCAGGATAGTTCTGAGCCGTTAAGCATGTCGCCGCCCATTCATGGCTAAAGGCTTTTGAAATTGTGATTACATTTGCGCCACTTTGCGTGCCTATAGATCTGGGCCACTTTAATTTAATGAACACACCGCTGGAATTATGAAACGACCGCAAACCAAAAGCCGAAAATCAAAACGCTCACTCAATAACAAAACGAGCAGTGAAGGCGAGTTTCTGGGGTCAGCGGAGCGGGGTAAATTGGCTAATTGATTGGTTTGGTTCACTGAAAGGATGTGAGACTTGTAAATAATTGAAGACATAAATGTAAATGAGATTAAATAAATGGTAGTATGAGAATACTTGTGAAGTTAACCAAGTTACTTATGAACCTTAAAATATGGGACTTTCTAAAAAACAATCCACATTTCTTATTTTACGAATGTATTTTTGTGTGTTATTTCAGTGGTTATTATCATTTCAAAAAGTAACAATTTATTGTATTTCTTATTTCTAAAATAAATATTTTTAATATTTTAAAAGAAAATACCATTAAAATGTTTTAGATAATGCCCATGTTTGAATCTACCTTTACCTATTTATTGAAGTTTAGAAGGGTTAAAGGGTTGACAAATTGAATTTTCTATAAATGGTGAGCAGAGTACAAAAGCTTCGTAGCTGCACTGAGATTCTCCGAAAATAGTTTAGCCACTTTAATTGGCTCGCTATAATATATTTTGGCCCAGAAAGGCGGCGAAATGGATCAGCAGCAGCTCAACATGGACATGTGCTGGCCCAAAATTAAATGCGAGTCAGACTCTCGGACTGGGATTGTGTGGCTCCGGACTGCGTGGCATGCGAGGCACGTTGACGACGATGACGTGAGTCTTGGAGGGCTGAGCCCGAGATGGAACTCAGGTTTTGCGGGATGGGGTGGGTCGGACGTTGATATTAAAGCGACATTAACATTGAGCTTGATGGCTGCTTTGATGGGCCACGATACGTTTTTAAATGCGCGAATATTGTCAGTTGTCCCATACATTCGGATTCGCACTGTGCATCTGAGATCGAGTGAGTTATCATAACCCCAGGCGAAGGAGACCTTGCGACCGTTACTGAATTCTGATGGGAGAATCGGCTGCATGGAGCCGCATACTTCGCATAAATAGCGGAGCACCCACAGCAGCCGGGCACAATCCGTTAGCACTCGTCCACCAATCAACATGAATAGCCAACGCCAACCCCTCCTGATCCTGGCCATGTGCCTCCTGGCCCTCTCCGCCGTTTCCGCCATGCCACAGCGACGTGCGAAGAGTCAGCGCCAGGTGGAGTACTCCTCCACCCCCTACCCGGCGGCTGGTTTTCCGCCCCAGGGTGCCCTTCACTCTGCCCGGGGAAGTGCAGCCCAAGCTGGAGACGGAACCCCTGACCACCACCAGCTCCACGACTCCCAGCGAGATCCAGACCCTGGAGACCACCGAACCACTGAGCACCACCGAGCAGCAGCTGCCGGAAGCCGAGACGGAAGCGGATTTGGACGTGGAAGTGTCCGTCCGTACGCCGGCCAACACCTACGGAGCGCCTGGAGAGCAGGATCCCCTGGAGCCCGACACCGTGGAGGTGGTGGCTCAGGAGCCGTCCCGGGACTTTCAGCCACCCACCCTCGAGTCCGTCGAGGACTTTGCCGCCGGTGGCGCTGTTGCTGCTGGCAGCGAGCAGCCTGTTGCTGATGTCCCTGCCCTGGGCCAAGCGGAAACGCAGGAGCCCAGTGAGCCGGAGCTGATTCCAGAGCTGATTCCGGAGGCCGAGGCGGAGGTCAGGGCCGTGACCCCGGCAGGAACCTACGGACCACCCGCCGCCACCTACGGAGTGCCCGAGCTGAGCGAACCCGAGAACGAGTTGGATCTGGAGCAGTCGCAGGTGGAGCTGGTGGACGAGGAGGCGGCGGAGGAGGCGCTGACCAATGAGCTGGCCAGCGGTCGTCTCATCCTGCTGCCCTTCGGCGCCAGGGGAACGCAGTTCGGTCGCCTCATCCTGGCCGTGGAGCAGCCACGTCAGCGCTTGAGGAGCGAACGCCTGAGGAGGATCTAAGGATTAACCTGTCTATCTAAAAACGGGGATTATTAAACGAAAATATACGTACTATTGCAACTAAACATTTTTTGGAGCTATGGGCAACTTGTTTTGCAATGAGAATGGAATTTTAATTGATAAGAAGGATGTGTATCGTATCATAAATTCGGATTTCACTTAAGATGTTTATCAGGCCAGTTTCGCTTTTCACTTGTAAATGTTTTATTTGAGTTCGATTTGAACAAACGACAATATTTAGGCGCTTACATTTTTCCTTAGATACATTTTTTAACTTACTTTATAAGATAGAAGTTAGTGTTTACATTAAATGTGAATTTAAGCTTTCTAAGAAGAAAATCTCTAGAGTTCCTTAACAACACCTAGCATAAACGCAATATGATTAAAGCTGTTGTTTAGCCAGGCCAGCTGTGCTCAGGAAATGTGTATGTTAAGGAAATGGAATTGGCTGTGTCAAAGGGGGATTCCCCGACCCAACCTTATCCCCATCATTTCGCAGAGGAAGTTGTTTCGGCAAAATTGTTGTGCACGGTTCATTGCATTGTTTATGCCAAATGGTTTGGCTTGTGATTGGGTCACGCCCACAGGATGCATATGTGGGCGTGGCAGGGCTTGTGTGTGTGCGCAAGGACATCCACCCATACATCGCCTAATTGATGCTCACTATTGTTTATTGTGTTTTGTACGAGAAGCCGAGCAAAGCAAAGCAAAGCAGAACTGAATGAAGTTGAACAGGAAACGATGCTCCAACTTTGCCCGACCATTTTGATTAGGCATTGTCCTGCCAGTGTGTCTGTGATTATGATTACGATGATGATGTGCTGGTGTGATTATGTACTTGGGTTGTTATTAGATCAGGCCTGGGACTCGTATTTCCATTTTTAAAGTGCCATGTCGATTGGGGCCGTGCGGGGATATTTGCTTATGTAGTCTTTGCAGATAACTAGTATTCACTGAACCGTTCAGAGTTCAGATGAAATGGAATGCAAATTATTGAGGTCCAAATCAAGAATGGAATGACTTTAACAGGAGCTGTGTATTTGGGGTTAGCCCTGGCAGTAGAATTTTATTTACTTCAAGCAATTTAGAATCTCGAAAAATAATCAACTAAAATACATGGAATCAAAAAGAAACCAAAAACTAAAATGTCTTTTAGTAACGGGGGGATTATTATTTTCGTTTTCAATCTTTCGCAACCGCTTTCATCACCTATAACCCTTGCTTTATTTATGTCTTTCAGCTTCTGCTTGTCAGCTACTCAGGCAGTTGAGAATGCAGTGCGTAGCAGCCATCCCGACATGCCAACCTTCCTCAACCTGAATCATTTTCGCTTTTTGCCACTCGACGCCAGTGGGTGGTGCACCTCCCGCAAGAGGCGACTGTGTATTTTTGGGCCATTTGATCAAATGGAAAGAAAACTTTTCTCATTACTCATTGCCAAGCCGGGCAAACAAACCAGGCAACGAAGCAACCAACCAGCCAACCAACCAGCCAACCAACCATCCAACCAACCAGCCAACAAACCAGCGCAACTAGCGGCAGTCAACAGCTAACAGTCAACATGAAGCGGTGGGGCAGCGGGGGGTTTCTGCCAAGGGGAGGGGGGCTGGATGCTGGGGATTTGTAACAGGACCCAGCTGCAACAGTGGCAATAGCAGTCGCAGTGGCTGCGGCAGTAACTCGCATGTTTTGCTGAGTAATCCCACGTATGTATTTGCACTAAAACCCTCTGTTCCGCCTTTCCAGCTCGCTACTCCACCATGGGACGGATGCCACAACAACGGGACAAAAAAGAATCCCCACTGTCGGTCAATTAATCACGGTTGAACAAGTTTGTAAAAGATTATCTGTGCAGTTATGGGGTGTGCGGGGGAGGACGGAATCAAAGACACAATTTATCACAAAAACAAGCAGCAGATAAAAAATGTTTCAAATTTATTGTTGCTAAGAGGGGATCTGGAGTTTGAGATGGATATTAGTTCATGGTTGGGGACTGCGATTAAAACTTTAGTTTTACATCGATGTTTTCAAAATACATTTTTCATGGTGTGAGCAGAGAGTAACTTGGTAAGGACATTCATATTGCAGAGACTAAATGTTATCCAAACTTTCTGTTGATCCATCTTTTTGTTAATTAAGTTTAAGTCCAAATGATGTGATTTTGTCTAATAAAATTATAAACTTTCAAAAGTACTGACCACTAATATTGTTAACAGGTCCTAAAAGATTTAATGATTTCTATTTCTTTACAAAAACTGCGCTAATCCAACCCACTGTGCCCAACTGTTCGCGATGGCACTCATAGTTTACTTGTTAGTTTGACTCGCGTTTTTTAAGCTCTTCCCTTTTTTCAGCACTTCACCTTTCCCATTCCGTGTGAGCGAAATGTTTTACGCAAATAACAATTTGACATTCTGGGCAGGAGAGAATCGAATGAACCATCGGCGTGCACTCACCTTCCAGATCCACCACTCGACCGGATCGCTTGAGGGCCCGCACCGCCTCGTCGTGGGTGGCGTCCCGCAACTCCTCCCCGTTGACCGTCAGGATGGCGTCGCCCACGTAGAGTCCTTTGGCCTGGTCGGCGGCCATGCCCCGGAAGATCTTCGAAATGAGGATGGGCATCCGGTTCTCGCGACCGCCCTTGATGGAGATGCCAAGGCCGTTGTTGTCCGACTTGATGATCCGCACATGGCGCTTCTGGTTGGCCACATGGTCAGGTACGTCGCACATATCCATGCCGCCCCCGTCGCCGGCATTATTGTTGTTGTTCAGGCAGAGATCGCGGTCCCCATTGTCGTTGCTACTGGAGCCATCCAGCTCCGTGTCCTGGATATTCATCCCCTGGAGCGAAGCGGAAGTGGGCAGGGTGCCGTTCTGGCCAGCTCCACCGGCACCACCTCCACCTGCGCCACCGCCACTGTGATTGCTCCTGTTGGAAAAAATGAGTGTTCGATTATGTTCTACTATCTGCCTATGTAAGTGAATGCACGAAAAGCGTAATAATGCTACTTATTTATGCTGCCATTATTGGCACTGAAACATATTGGAGAAGTTTCAATATTGTTCCTTCCCAAATATCTTTTATATTGGGCTATAACAGTCAATATAATGTATATTTTACAAGCTAGTTATAAAAAACTAGACGAATAAAGGGTTTCATTAAAGTGTGTCAATACTGCACTAGCGCTTTAGTTCCATGTACCCTTTTTGTTTAAAGCTCTGCATACCAGAATCCCGGGACATAAAACTTTACTACTAGTTGTGAAACGAAGACATTTATATAATGTAATAACTTTATATTACCTGTTTCTTTTGCAAATAAATTTTTAAATTTTTGAACGCAAAGGTCTAGAATGTGGTTGCTTATGTTTTTAAGTAAATAAATTAAATTAAATAAATAAAGTTATGCTTCACTTATTTGCAAATTATATATATTTATATGTATATGTATGTAGGTAAAGAAAAATTTATAATTGATACAAAGAAGCTTTTAGAAAATAATCGTTAGAATTTTGGTTTTAAGTGATTTCTGTCACGCCCCGAAATATGTGTTTCAGATCTTTCCTAAGGTAAGTTAAGTAATTAAAATTCTGGCATGTGTTAAGGTTTAACAAGAGAGAACGCTATAGTCGGGTGCCCCGACTATAAGATACCCGTTACTCAGGTAAAGGGAGTGCGAGGGAGATGGAGATAGAAACTTTGATCACGCATAACTTTTTAACGAATGGTCCGATTTGAAAAATTTCTTCTACATTTCGATAGGTATTGATAAACACAATAAAACTGCATATTTTACTTTTCCGAAATATTTAAATTTTAAAATCGAATATATAAACGATTGTGGGCGTTAAAGGGGGCGTGGCACCTTTTTGAACACACGCTGCGTAGGAACTCCTAAACTTCGCTGCGTAGAACTCCGAATCTGCATGCAAAATGCCAATCTTCTAGCTTTTATAGTTTCCGAGATCTCAGCGTTCATACGGACAGACAGACAGACAGACGGACAGACAGACGGACAAGACGGACGAACGGACAGACGGACAGACGGACATGGCTATATCGACTCGGCTAGTGACCCTGATCAAGAATATATATACTTTATAGGGTCGGAAACGCTTCCTTCTAGCTGTTACATACTTTTGCACGAATACAATATACCCTTTTACTCTACGAGTAACGGGTATAAAAACTGGAGAA